TCTCATTTCAGTGACCATCAATACATCTGTCTTTTCCCTTCTCAGCTAGATTTGGTTGACTCTAATCCAGCTGGATGGAAGCCCAGACGCATTTCTTTTTTTCCTCYCTTCTTTGTAAAAAGCCAAATCCCCACCAGACAAGCCCTGCTTATGATTTCGAGCTTACTTCTATTTTAAACTAAAATCCCACCCTAACAAGAAGAAAATGTCACTAGGAATTTATTAGAGGAAGGAAGTTRATAAAAGTTCCTTCCTGTCCCCGTGACCTCTGTGCTTTGCAAACACAGCAGGGCAACCTGCCTCTGATAACCTAACCCACTAAATTTAATGCCTCAATCTTTTAGGCATCCTGAACCATCTTTAATTAGCTAATAATTCTGAATTCTCCTACAACACGGAGGAGTTGATAGTTCCACATACAGACTCGTGCAGGAAGCTGAGGCTGAAGAGACCTTTGGAGAGGCTGAGCCTCCCTCCCAAAGGGGAGAACTCTCCATAGGACAGTTCTTGACCTCTCCTCCTATGACATATGCACTAATTCTTTAATTATCCTCGCGGACTGAGGCATTCCCCTTTATAAATCCATGCTGACTACTCCCAAACAACTTTGACTCCTTTATATGYTTAGAAGATTTCCATCACCTTGCAAGGACTGATGTGAGGCTCACAGGCCTGAAGTTCACCAGATCCTCCTCCTTGCCCTTCCTGAAGATAGGTGTGACATTTGCTTTCTTCAGAAACCACAGATTAAGCAAGATCCCTCATTTACTTCCCTGGCCMTTTTCTGCCTCTAATCCCGAATTAAAAGAAAATACTTTAAATAGATATGGTTAAAACACAACCTGACTCCTTACTAGGTAAGCTTTTCTCTCCGGCCCTCTCCTGTTGCCTTTGTTCGGTATAATCAAAGTGTTTTCTAACTACTTTCTAATTTTAAATAGTACTAATTGACGTCTTTCGGATTTTCAAAGCACATCTCACTCACCTGCACTGGCAAGACCTAAACACGGAGAAAAACAAGGCTTGAGTTTTGCCCAAGCCAGAGAGGACAGCTAGGGAGAATGTGCTAAGATACACCCAAGCTGGTGAAGAGGAGGTGTAAAAGACACCATCTGGATATGCTGCATCTCAGGGTAGATGTGCTCAAAATAAGGACAGGCGATGGTATTACTATCCTCCTTCAGAAAATCCACAATTAGAGTTTAGCGCTCTGTATGAGTCATTCAATTGGCTATATCAGGTTATTCCAAAAGGTCCATGCAGTTCTCTATTAGCCACAGCATGTGGAGAAAGCGTAAGAAACCACACATAAAGCGAAGATGCTCCTAGGCTGGCAAGGAGCAATAGGGATTTCAAGGGCTTKGCTGTGTCTTATTAAATACCCCAATTAAATACCCCCTCTCAATAAGTAGCCACTTGGGAAACTATAMAACTTTGCATGCATTAAGGGTGTTTTTGCTTTCACAAAGTTGCCAACATTCCGAAAACCTCCCTATTTCCAGGAAGGAACCTGGATTCCTGGAATCCTGGATTCCTAAGGAACCYGGTGGACTTCCTTAGTCCACCAGCTATTTCTCTATGGGAACAGACACRCTAAAATAAAGATATCACACAAAGTTAAGAGCCCAATCCAGAGAACCAGACTGGAAAMGTCGTGTCTCCGTTAAACTTACTCAAGAATAATGCAGTGCAATATCTTTCAAGACAAGAGCACCTGGCTGAAATCACCCGGATTTGCACACTATGGTACATGCACAGTATTGAGGCCAAGGTAAACAAATCCGCTCCAATTCCAGAAGTCAAACCAAAACAGAAATGGACTTCTAATATAGTCTTTATGTTTGTGCAATGTTTCTTCTTTTTTGCTTTGGTAATTTATTTGCCAACTATTTCCAATGCAAGAAAAATGTGGAAACTGCAGTATTTTCTGGCAAAAAAATCTATTATTTGTTAAATTTACAGCTTGTTTTTTATGCACCTCAAAAGTTCTCACACTTCAAATAAACCAAGGACRAACGTCACGCCTGAAGTAAGCCTCCAAACTTTAGGAATTTTCCCAGCATATGCAAGGAAGACAGCTGACAATCTCAGTATACATCTACTTAGATTGCTATTCAGAAATACACAGCAGCTGTTTCACAACAGAGTCTTGCTACCATTCAATTTAAGCTTGAGTTTCCATATTCTATGACTAAATATTGGTTACACATGTGGAATTTTGGCCCAGTTTTTGATGCTATTCATAGCATGTATTTGCTAGATCTACTAATAGTGCTGTTGATTTGTTTGTAGTTTTGTGCTGCAGCCTTTGCACATCTTTAAATTGCTAAGCATTAATTTGCAATGCTGCTTTGCAGAAGCTGCTGAGCTCCTGGAATATGTACTAAACATATCTAATCCTGTTTCCCTTGTGCTCGTGGAATAAATGAAGTTTCATCAGYGGAAAACTAATGCGAGACGCCAGCCAGGCCATTTATCTTATTTATCACAAATATCAGTGATTGCTTTCTAGCAAACAGCTCCCTTTAACCCATGAGCTACAGAAAGCTGCACCTTCACTGCCTTAAACAGACAGCTATGGAGCTCAGGCTTGCATTTCCCTCTACAGATTGCTGCTTTTAATAAAAAAGACCTGGGATCTATTGAACGTTTATCTTTTCAAACACCCAGCTTTGTTGAACATCCACCCAAATATGTTTGCAAGTTGGAAACGTGGCAGAAAAAAATAAAAATAAAAAAGTCAAGCAGACTTGGTTACTGCAAATTTGACAGCTACAGTCTAATTCCAAACTAGTGCAGGGGCTTTGATTTTAGTGAGAGTCAACATGGCATTTCCGTCCCCTATTCAGGAATGAATTTGTAGGATTAGAAACCAGTCTATCCTTTTTATGGGCTAAAGAGATGTGTCTATCCGTGGAGAGTATTTCCTGGTTCTCATCAGTGTCTTTGAGGAGCTCTTAAATTGTACTTCACATGTGAGAGCTGAAAATGCTGTGGGAATTGGACGCCTACCTTTGGGAAGCCTTTTAAAAGCCTGATACCAAATTTCTCTGAATCCTGTAGAAATCTAGATGTAATGTATGAACCACAGGAAGCTTTTCCTACTGATCTGTACCTTCTCTAATCTCTTCCATAACAGTCGTGCAAAACAGGCGGACAAAGTTACAAAAATCTCTACTTCACATTGGTGCCAATGGCTACAGAATTCAGAATTAAGAGTAAACTGAAGTATTTTCTTATTATGCCTTGTCCCATCACTGCCGAAAGTTGTTCCACAGGAGAAAACGGACACATAGAGAGAGGAAGACGAGAACAAATATTTGGGATGCAGYTATTTGCTCAACCTTCTATACAACCAATTCCCTACATACAGTATGTTTAGAGAGCATTAATAGGTGTTTATTCAGCCAGAAGGCAGGTTTATGTTGAGCAGAGATAAATAATAATAACAAAAATTACCACATTGTTGGCAAAGTTCTGCAGCTTCATAAATACTTAATATCTTATGAACATATAAATAGGGAATTATCAGTGCGTAAGTCTTGTCCTGGGCTAGTAAAGACTTCTGAAATTCAGGCTTAGGTGAAAACAGAAAAAAAAAAATGAGGAGAGTCCAGATCTGGCTAGCTTTAAAGGGAAAATGCAAAAGGAACTCGCCACATTTTCTCATTCCCACTGTTAACTGGATCCATTTCAGTGCCGCCTGCGTGCCTGCATCTTATTTTTGCATCCTACTAACATTTSAGTAGTTGCTTTTTTACTGCCAAAACGTCTGGGGGAGGGGAATATTAAAATGGCATATATGAAWAGGCATAGCAGCAATGTTTTAAAACATATCCACAGTGAAGTTTTTGCTTCAGAACAGTCTGTATGWTTCGCGGTCAAAAATAATACCGAGGGCTTTACCAGGCTTGTCACAGAATGAATGACAGAGTCTGTGTCACAGATTACCAGCAWCTAGGGTGAAAAAGAAAGAGGGAAGTAACTAATCCGCTAGAGAAAACTGGAATGTGCTTAGGAAAGTAGCTGCTCCTAACAGCAGCAAGGCTGGATTAGACTCAAATGCAAAGGCCAGAGCAAGAGCCAAAGCGTTACTGCAGGCCCAGCAAGATCCAAGCAGAGCGGGGAGCTCCACGCCTTGCATGGAGAAGTGTTCCACCTCAAATGAATTATTCAGCACAAAAGTATTTTCCAAGATGTAATTTCCTTGGCATGCTTTGAGCAAAGAAGGATGCAGGTGGAAAAAGTATCAAAATCTTAATTTCCTTCATCACTATATACTCAGCTCTTGCTATCCCTAAAGAGCATAGATAACTATTTTAAATATATGTGATTTCAATACAGAACTATATGTATATGTAAATAGGAAACTATGCAGTACCATTACAAAAAGACAAGTCAGATCTGTAGAGAAGCTTGGCTCAAATGAATTTAGTGGAAGAATCAAAGCACACATTAATCAAGGATTAGGCAAAAGCAGAAGTTCTTAAGTTCTACTGCTGGCAAAATACAGATTTGAAAGATTATACAGATTATAAAACACATTTTAACTCATATGAAAACAAAGTCAAATCTCATCGTACTATTCAGAATGATAAGAAAGCAAACAGTCCTTGGAAGGAGTCAAAAACAAATTCAAATTCATTTTCTGAGTCACGTGCATGCTGTGGGCTGAGAGCATGAGAAGGATCCAGTGGGATACTCAAGACATCTAGCCAGAGGAGCATGACACTGTGCAGATGCTCGCTTGAAGACAGGGAACTCCCTCACCCTGGACTATCACTTAGTCCACAATATGTACAAGCTCACGAACTCCCTAAATGACTCCCTAAATTGACCAAAAGGCCAGTTAAACTCGAATTCCACAGTAGGCTCCAGTGTAGGAAGGACTTCTACGGGTCAAAAACAGCCGTAGATTCAAAGGTGGAATGACAGAACAACTGAACCTCCTCCTTTAGTACCACCAAATACTTTCAGTGGCACAGGAGCAGTCACGKAGCAATGCTCAGTCCATTCCAACCTGCCTTGGACTTCCATCCTCTGGATCCCATGGTAGGAACAGTCGTACTTCCCTTGTTGAGTATTGCCTGTTGTCCTAACGTCTTGCCCCTGCTGCAAAACCTGGTATTACCATGAGGTATTTATGTTGTTTTAGATTGCTCTCCGAGGACCAATCTCCAAGGACACATTCCCACCTTCCAAAAGCAAGAAAACAAACTCATCCTCTGCTGAGGTTTGACATATGGCATTAAACACAAAGCAGCCACTGATATTTTCTTCTGCTTAGCCAATACCTCTGTAATTTTTCAACTGATAGTCACTTATCACTGAAGTGTAAATAGTTTGCTGTGTGGATTGGCTGAGCTACCTATTAATCAACCAGATTAAAAAGATGATGGCAAATCTCCAATAATTATGCAGCGTAATTAAAAGGCCGGGAAGCCTGATTTAGGGCTTATTAGCCCTCTAAGACCTTCATTAGCCATATTAGTTTCCTGCATGAGATCCCAAAGGGAAAATATTATTGCTGTAGTGTGAGTCACAAAGATCTGGCTGGTACTTTCAAATGTTACCCTTGCTGCTGAGTTTTCTGACCTTGAGAACTTCAGTGTATTAAACTAAATGGTTTTCCCTACAGTCCTTTTAGTGGAGACAAAAAACCACACAATTTATGTATTCTTGGCCTGTGGGAAAGAACTAGCGAATCTGTGATTCCCGCTTCACAAATGCAACCAAAAATCCCAGGCAGATATTATTACACCGTGCAATGTGTTTGCCCCCTCAGCTAGCACCATAGCGGTCTTCAAATTTGCTGCTAAAACTTGGTATGATGGAGACAAATGCAGAAGATGATGGCAGAGTTCACTGAAGCTGTCCTGTAAACCAATACACTTTATGTAAACCAATACACRTTATGTCTAGGAAACAAGAAAAGATAATTCTCCCTGAACTCACCTGCTAAACAACTTGGTGCAATACACCGAGCTCATGATATCAGGAAGATATTGATGTGAGGAGGAGTCTGCCAAGATCACGAGTTGCTCTCTTGACGTTTGTCTATAGCTAGGGGCAGGGAGCTTATCTGGGATCAGACAGAAGAGTTTCATTCCAAAATCATCCACCTGAGTTGAGTTTCTGCTTAGCCGTATGGGCCTGTGCCCTCCCACCATTGCCAAGGCAGAGCTGTAGGGCACAGGCCACGACGGCCAAGCTATAGAAGCTRTTATTGCCCAAACAGCAGCTGGCCCCTTTTGATGGGCGGCATAAGCAAATGTCATTTCACAAATGCCAGCACTTCTCAAGTGGCTCGCCCAACGTGATGCTCCCTGGCCACCTTCCCATTACACTCCCAGCTGCCAGCATTTCTTCCACGCAACCTTTTTGCCTTTGGGCAAGCACTGAYGTGGAGTTCGGTAACGTTAAGGGAGATAGGTCATTATTTTCTTCAATAAAAACAGAGGTCTGCTGGGTCACTGGTTACTATGGTGTAGATCAATAACATGCAGTGTCACCTTGTTATTTTCTGTGATGTCCCCCACACCTCACTGGAATCCCATCCCTCACCTATCGTGGGAATGGYGAGGGAATAGGTGAGGGAGAGGTGAGGGAATGTCCTCACCTATCATGGGAGGACAAACACTTCCTCAAGCCCCCTATGAGAACTTCCCATGCTGTAATTTTAGGTACCCATCCACAGTCACGCTTATTTAAATTTCAAACTACAGACACATTTCCTAAGCAAACACTGTGGATAAGTACACAGAGTTCCTAGCTTAAATATAGGAATGCTACGCTTACTTCAGTTTCACCCTTTCAAATTAAAACACGTCTCAGCTCTTCTTCCATTCCTGTTTAGACCATGATTTTTCTTGAACGGGGTATTGGCATATTCCCTATTGGTTCTGCTCTTCAACTTTTAAATACACTTTATCCTCCTTGCATTTGGTGGGAAAATCCTTGTTGACACGCTCAAAGGCTTGTTGTCTTGTCAGACAAGTCAAAAAGGATCCACCTTCAGACAAGAATCTCCTATCACATAAATGGGGGCAGAATCTACCCACCCATCACCACAGCATCCAGGCTGCTATACACCAGTACAAAACAACTTCTGCTCCTCCAGCACATCTATAAAGCAAGAAACATCTCCTATCTTTCTCCTTTGTAGAGCTTTCCAAGCCTCAGGAATTATTATTTTGGCTGTGCCAGCAATAAATTAATCTGGACCTCTTATTTCTAACAGCTTCTAAAGTGAAAATCCAGATCGGTCTTTGTCGCTCCTTGGTGCTGAGGCTCTGCTCTTCCTAGCATTAAGGATGACACTTTTCTACAAAACAACATCCCTGCTGCAAAATATGAAAGGGGTCTGCTAATTAAGTCATGTTGCCAGTGGCTCCTGGGGGGAAGGCAGCTGCACGGCATGATCCAGTGCTCTGAAAGCATCCTGGTGCCCAAGAACATCGTCATGACTTTCTGTATAGCTTCCTCCCGACCACCACTAAACACACTGAAGCAGGTATGTTTGCTCATATACCATCTTGCAGGTCATCCAAGCTTCCCCAGAAGGCTGCTATTGCACATTGCATTTAATTTGAATGCTTTCCTTCCGCTCAGGTGGTTCTTGCCTATTGCACAGCGTTCCTCGGGGCAAGTGCACTCACCCTGCATCATTCTGGTGGTGGCAGGGCTGTTCTTTCTGTGCTTGCTTTTAGTTGCCACAGCCTCCCTAACATCTCTGCCAAGCTAAAAACAAAACCAGTAAAGAAAGTAGAAACCTGGATGTGCTAAGGCCTCCCTTCTGAYGGCAACACGCTTCCTGCTTGGGAAAACGCTATTGCTTTTTCATGCTTTAAGCTGTGCCTTAGCCAACGGCATCACACAAGCAGTGGTCACCTATTGCAATAGGAACAGGTGGGATGAGGTGGACCTAGTTTTAAGGAGCTTGCAGCCTAATTACATGCAAATAGGAGATAACAGGTCTAACTAATCAACAGATTGTAAAGGTGGAAAGCACAAGGCAGCAGCAGGCAATTATTTTTAGTGTATCACGTGCACCCAGGCAGCCAACTGCTCTGTCATCCCTCACACTTCCATCCTCACGACAGCTTCATCCCCTTTATTGCTGCATTAAAAGGCCAACCCAAAAGAGTCCTGGTTCCAGCTGTGGGAGACCTGTTGCCACTGGCMTTGTGGAAAAAGGCCACAGACTGTGTGAAGAAACGCACAATTCTTTTCAGGTTTCAGGATCTTGTGGGAAGCATCATGGATGAGACAACTACAGCATTTTTGAGCAGCGAACTGCATTTGGGTGAAGCTGCTTTGCCACAGCATCCAGGACACCTCGCCTAGACACATGTGAAGTGAGCATGATGGACCACAAGCATTTAAGGGCTCAAGTAAAGACCTTGTTTCTTGCAGGAGCTCTGCTGTTGGGGCTACTCTCTTATCAGGCAGGTGGCCCAAAGCTACCTGGGGAGGTCTGGGCAACCTGCACTCACAGCTTGAGCAAAGACCACTGGGGCAACCTGAAATAAGAGTGGTCAAAAATAGGATAAAGTCTTTGTCATTTGTCTAGGGATAAGAACATGCAAGAACTACAATACAGGAACTGCCAAGGAGCTTTCAAGAGAGAGCAAAAGGGGGAAAAAGGGTGGATTTTTAAAAATTGTCATGGGAGTCTTTGTAGGGAGGAAAAAGGGATTTATGGAGAAACCAGGCTGCTGAGGAAGGCAGGCATGAAGGCTGGAAGGGTGCGCGCTGATGACTAGATAGAGCAGAAGAGATGACAGCATAAGCAAGACCCAACTGTGAAGAACTTTTAAATTAAGGACATGCAGTTCCCTTCACAGGCTACCCAGAGGCCAGAGTGGAAGCTTGATCATTCTGCTCTCAGTGTTTCATGTCAGTAATGGCAAAACACGTCTGCTTGGCTGTTCAAAGGACAGGAAAAACAGGTTCACTTAATGTCTCCATAATCACAGAGATAAAACGAGGCCTCTTGCAGCACCTCATTAGGATGCATTGCTTTCACTTTGTCAGATGAAACTGACACCATGGCACAGCCAATTCCAGTTTTATCTTAGCAAAATTGCTGTGAATTTAAAATTATATGTATATATGATGGATATATATATATATCTCCTTCAACTTCAGAATAAAGAAATACATCTGCCTAGAAAGAAAGCAAACCTAAAACTAACGGCATCCTAATGACTCCTCATCTAAGAGCCTTTTACAGCTTTAAAATGAGAAGCAGCAATGCAGACTGAAATTCTGAAGTATGATGTGGACACACAAGCACACGTGCACACTTTTGCATCCACATTGCAACGCAAGAGGACAAGGAGATACGGTCACTTCAATGGCTCAAGTGACAAGATGCTACCATCTAAATTCTCCTTTTTTTTTTTTTTACCCCAAAACACCATGAGGGCATAAGAGGGAGTTAAGCAGCCCTTATGGAATAACGCCAGCCAGGGGCAAAGACAACAGTTGCCTGCTATTCTGATTTCTGTGCCATGTTAGGCAGGCAAAAAGAGCTGAAGGCAGCTCCAATTTGCTGCAATTAGATCAGCCTTGCTCTTCTCATGCCATTCACCAGAAGGGAAGAGCTTAATCTGCAGGGCAGGGAGGGAACGAGCCACAGAAGCTGAAAGTCTTTTCCTAGCACCAAACAATGGGGAACCCTCCAGGTAGAGAAAGGATAACACTGAATAAAGCCTAAGCTACCAGTCTGAACTGAACCTATTCTAGGCAAAGCACCTGGGTTTTCAGTTAATAAAGTGCAGCCAAGAGATAACTGCTACTATTATAATAATTGCCTGGGAAAAAAAAATGCATTAGGGCAAGAAAATACAGAGCACATAAAAGCACTTGTTAACATTCTTTCTATGTGCTTATCATGAGTTTTATACAGGGTTAAACATATTTTCTGGTGACTAACACTGCAAGGCTGAGGATTAAAAAGGATAATGTGCAATGTGATTTATGAAGTTTTAATGGAAAATCCCCATGGGTTGTGTATAAATCTTATTTATAGCTTTAAAAGTATGTAATATACTTATTGTATATTTTAAAAACTGTGGGAGTGCAGTCTCTGTCAGAGTTAATCCATTAAAAAAAGCAATTCCTAGGGGGCTTCTAGGGATACGACATTTGATATTTTAAAGACTATCAGCACGTACAGTGTGAAATGTCCTCTGCAATTTAGTTAGTGGGGGAGAAAGGAGGAACAGAAGAACCCAACCTGGAAGGAAGGAACAGGCTGTTTTAGGAATAAGCTTCATCCATTCAGAAAAGAGCGACAAGGCGGGGGGTGGAGGAGGAGGRGGATGAAGTCACGATGCAGGCTCTGTCCTCCTGCCTGTGCTAACTAATCTCTGCGAGAGGCCTGAATTTAGAGCTCCATCTTTGTCTTTAGATTAAAAGAGCCACTACAGACCCTCATCTTCGTGTGCCATATAATGTGCATTCTGCTACATGAAGTTAATCGTTTCAAGTTGAATCCGTAGAATCCAGTAACTATATCTAAGAAGAGAAGGCATGGTATTATCTAGCTATTTTTAGATTCCTTCCTCTTATCCTTATTAAAGTGTTTTTAGTTTTCCTCCCCTACAGTTTGGAGAATCAATTTTATATCATTCCAAAATATTAGCTCTTGGACTCTACATCAAGCTAAGGCAAAGAGTCCAAGAGCTGATATTCTGAATTTCCAAGAGAGGAAAAAAAGAAAGGGAGTTCTGTCACTGGAGGAMAAAAAGAAAAAAAGAAAAGAAAGAAAAAAAGAAGAAAAAAAAAAGCTTTGCTTTCATCAATTTAGATAAGACAGTAAAAGGTATCACTCACAAATTTTCTGTTTCAGAGCACACATGATAGTTCTTTCCAGTTGCAAACGCCCATCCATTGGATACGGACATCAGAGAGCCACGTCGCTCCTAATGAAGAAGCAAGACTCTCTTGTAAGATAAAACCAAGCTTTATGAAAGACTCTGACATACAATGCGTAAGATGGCTGACTGATTATCCTGAAAAATAAGATAAAATCCTTGGGCCTGGCTGGGAAAACTGAATCCCTAACCTCATCTAAGTTAGGTTCACAGGTTTGAATAAGGGTGTCTGAAAGTTAATTTGCCTTTCTTGTATTTCTTACAAGTTCTTAGAAACATGTTGATATATTGGAAATCCTAGATGAGATAATCAGAGGCAGTGATTCATTTCCAATATGCCAAAGTGAACCAGCGTGGTACTTTGAATGATAGTATTGCATGAAATAAGATTCTTTAATGGTATTTCTGAGAAATGATGATTCTTCTTCCCTAACACATTCCACTCAGATTTATTCTAATTATGTCATATTGCTCAAAATTATTGCTTGGTGCCTTAGAAAAATGCAAGGTGTTCAGACATATTTCAGCCTATCCAGGGAATAAAAACTAAATGTGTGAACAGCCTTGATGGCATTGGTCATATATTGTATGTTTGAAAGGTGTTAGTCAAGATCTTTTGGGAAATATATGGCTGTTTCTAGTATTTTACTTCCAGGAAAGCATTGAATTCCTCCTTCATTGAATTCCTCCTTCAGTATGGCCACATGAAGATACAACGCAGGATTCCCTGCAGTGGAAATCAAAGAGAATGAAGAATATCCTCATGGAACCGGATATTTGAAGAGCTTGATTACTTGCCTCAGTTGTAATAAATATGGCCTATAATAAGGCACGGACTTTGCAGAAAAGTCACAGTATGCTAGATCAAAAATACACATTTTTGAGAGAGACAGTCCCCCACTTGAATTAACTAAATCACACCTAAAGAAATAAACAAAACGCTAACATCATGAAACAGAAAAGGAAAGAACTCAGGTCTTCCTGGACCTGCAGGAGCCCATTATCAGTGTTCATCTCACACCTTCATTTCTGAAGGTAAGACATGAATCCAAACCTGTTCTTCCAGAACAATGGAAGGAATCATTATAGAGTTATTCCTTCCCTGAAGAAATACTACAGGGCCTTCTACAACACCCCTTTCCACGGTGTCTTCATCGATGCTGCTTTTAACCTTGGTAAATGGGCAYGTGCAGTCTGCTTCATCTTCCTGAAGCAAATTATCTGCTTCAGTGATGGTGCCACGTACCAGATGCACTCAACATATGGCACACGGAGGCCTGCCAGAGAGGCCCCTTGCGTCCTGATGTTCAGCTCATTGAGAACCATGTTGTGCAGTGGGAGCCTGGGCAGAACAGCCATCCCCCTCTGAGCTGCGATCATCAGAGAAGGGCTTCACATCAGGGCTACTTCTGGCAYCTAATTTAGGTGAAATTCAACAGGYTTGAGTAAAGAACCCTATTTCATAGGGTTCCTATGAACATCCACTTCTTTCATAGAGGTGGGTGGTCATCCTGCTAAAAGAATGAGTCACAGCACGTAGGTTAGATCTCATGCACACACCAAACGGAGCAATAGGAGAAATACCAAGGGTCAACAACTTCCTTATCGCCATGAAAACACCTCATGAAAAACGCCTTCAGGCCACCACTCAGAGGTACAGAGTAAAGCAAATCGCTATTAGATGTCACACACGTTTCAGCAGCAGCACGGCAAAGCAGGGAATGCAAAACCAACATTTTATCAGCCTGGTCTAAAGGGTTCCAGTTGTTTTCAGAAAGTGCTGATTTATTGGAAAGCCAAACTGGAAAGCCAAATGTAAAACATATTTAGACTTGTGACAGCTTTATAATCTGAAATTGGGGAAGAGATCTCATCAGCCTTTTTCAGAGTGGGATAGACTGTTGAGAAATTAAAGAATGGGATAGAGTTTTACCAGATAATTGCAAGAAAACAAGCTTGAAAACAGCCCAGCAAGAGATGGATTACCCAGCAAAATGGTCTCTCGATGTTATCAGAATAATCCTTATGGGCATCTTCTGTCCCATAGAATTTAATAGGAATGAAATCCAATAGAACTTTGGATAGAAAGCATTAAATATCTGTAGTTGCTATAGAAAATGATAACCTTTCTATAGGGTATTAGCAGCTCTCCAACAGAATTATATAGCACAGACAATACTTYTTATAGCATGGACAAGTTTCACACACACGTCCCAACATAGTTGAAATAGATTTGAATTGAGTTAGAGATTTGCATGAATTAAAAAACAAAACAAACACAAAAACCCACAACAAACAACAAAAAAGCAAAGATCAACACTCTTCTTTCATACTACTATTTTTCTCCAGGAGAGTTATTTCTCATTTGTCSCAGAAAAATGGGAGAAGTGATACCTACTTATCTCTCTTTCATAAAGTCTCTCCTACATTACAGAAATCTTCTGAGGACTTTTTTATTGAAGTTTCAAAGCAGAAAATGTAAAAGCATTACACTCAGACCAGAGGTTTTTCATTTAGTTATTGGTTGCTCTCACATGGCTGCCAGCATCGAAGTTGTATTAAAAGCAAGAGCAAATTGCATTAGAGGATTAAGGATCTGCAGGCTTTTCGGAGGGGTCCAGTCTACTGGATTCTTCCCAAGCAGATTGGGTGCACAATGTGTGCACAAAAGCGGTGGAGAGTCAAGCCTGCAGTTCTTGGTTCCCCATAGCACTGACTGTGCCTAAGCAAAACTAAAGACCAGAATGAGGGTCTCTCCATCTGTGCAGCTAATGGCAGCCTGTAAACCTCAGTTCAGGATCAAGAGTAGTTAAGCTCTGAGGCCAGTCATAGAGTAGGGATCTGTGTGCACAGGCACACAGTATTGCATAGAAAACTTCCAAGTCAAAACAATGACAGAAGCGCATTAAGATGACTTTAATCTGAAGCTACACAGAAGTTCAATATAATCTAATTTTGGTCAAATTAAATTAGTCCGACAAATTCACACTTTCCTCAGTGTCCCATGTAAATAAATCCTTCGGCCATGTTATCTGTCAAAGTGCTGACTTTCTACTAGCAAGATTATAACAGGATGCCACTTTTATAGTCCCACCAGGAGACCAGCTGACCAGCTATGTATGGAGAGATATTGCAAGCGACTGGATGCTAAGCGATTCAAAACACTAAATATTCCCTCAGCTGAAGAGAACTGAATTCACCCTATACCACCTTAGAGTCAAACCTGAATGTGGGGAGTAGAGGTGAAATCTAAATGAACCATTCAGAAAATGTTCTCTTACCAGCTGATTGCACCAGCTGTCTACTTCTTCCAGACATGATAAATTCATTGCCATTGTCCAATATGTGCAGCCAAAAGCTGCTAACTCTGAATTCTAATTAATGGTAGGTGTGTGATCAGGTCACATCTGCGGAAGATAAGCATTTATTATCACGAGCAACTTCTAAACTTATTAAGAGTAAGTGGCTTTCAAGGGTGAGAAGGAATGAGTTAATAGATACAGAAGCACCAGCCACTTGGACCTTCTGCTCAAACAGCTGGACACTGGCAGCAAAACACAAGCTGGAAGACCTTTTTGTTATGAAGAGCTAGACACATCCACACATGCAGAAGGAACGCAACTGAAGTGCTTAYGTTTGTGCACTTAGGTTGCAATAAGATTTTCACTGACTCTTGAGAAAATATATCCCCTTAGGAGTTTTGGACCTCATGTCCTCCAGACTGCACACACAACCTGCACATGCCGTTTCATTTTGGGTGGGATGCAAAGCTAGCCCCAAGAGCACAGGCAGTCCTTAAGGGACCTGATGGCATTTAACAGCTCCCAAGTCCTTGCTAAACCCGCTTAGTCTGTCACCTCCTGGGKTTTTTTTTAAGCAAAATGTTAGCTTATGGCAGCAGTCATGCCCAAGAATTCATTGAGAGGTGAGAAGGATAAGTGTTTTGGAAGGAGAATATGTGGGGGTGGAGAAGAGGATATACGTGCCAATGCTTTGTCGGCAGCTTTTATCTAAGACGGGAAAGTGGGTCATGGTGACAATGCACTCAGCAAACCTCAGTGGCAGCAAGAGTTGAAGATTTGTGTTAATTAAGCATCCCTGATAAGTCCAGGGGTAAATGTGGTAGCAGAGCTCCACTGCTATGTGGTCAAAAACCCATCCTGGAAGCACACGAGGCTAATATGACAATAAAAACTGTGTCATATATAGCTCTATACTGTATACTGGGATACAGCCCAGACCTCCCAGTATTTTTGTTTGGTTTTTTTTGACCACACAGCCCTCAGCTAACCCCTGGAGCAGCTAATTCCCAGATTATCCAAGCACAGGAGACTGGTTCTGCAGTCTCAGGTGCCCTGAGTGGGACTGGAAAGAGGTTAGTTGTGTGCATTGACAGCGGAATGAACGGCAACCAAAATGTGTCTCCCTCTTCAATATGCCTTCCAAGAATCACAACATCCAAACATTCAAAGTTTTCTACATGTTAATAATCTATACCTAACTGGAATTAAAGAGACTCTTAATCCTGTTGAGACCAGTCCTCAGTTCTGCTTCAAGGTTGTGCCCTTTGAGGAGTAGATTTCTCGTAAGTCTTTCTGCTTGACATTTTTGATATTTTTTTCCTCTGTCAGGATTAGAACTTTAATCCTTTTAGCCGCCTCAGTGAACCTCTCAGCCTGCAGTGGGTTGTATTCCCATGTGATTCGTGAGTCACTAAAGCAATACTATACTTATCAATATAGCCAAGAAATCTGGGAAATTCTGTAAGAATAAAAGTTATAAAAATAAGGAGACTCCTTATGCAGTGACACCTGAACTAGTAGCTGGTGGAAGAATCCATCCTGTCTTCCAACAAGGTTAACGCTAAACGCTGACAAGGAAGATCCCAGATATCCTTAGACTAGGTAATTATGAATATCTAGCCAGTCCCCTCCTGGTAATGTTCGTGGTTCCAATAAACCATATGGCTTGGACCCTTTTCATAATGTTTTTGCCCTGAAGTACAGTTAAGTATATTTTCAATTCAGTCTTGAGATTCAGCGTTTTCCCTCTGAACAGAGCTCAAGTCTGTTTGTTAAATGCCACCAGTTCAGATGTTACTGTTGATTCAGGTTGCTCTACTCTTGCTCTACTTACTCTACGTAAGATAACTCAACCCGGTGACCAACACTGCTGTGAACGTCAGGATCACCCAGATCACTCAGGGCGAGGAGGGAGCTTCCAGATTGCTTCCACCCTAAGATCAGTGCAGTGTCCACATAGTGACCGTTCTGAGTAGCTACCAAACAGTAGAGGAGACACCAAAGCTACTGCAGAGTAGGTACCAAACAGCAGTCACCAAGCAGTAAGCTGTAAGCACAGTAGCTAAGCAGAGTAGCTGCCAAACAGCTCAACTGAATCAAAACTGGGCAGTAAGTGAATCAAAACTGGCCCCTCTTTTCACAGGCAAGTCCTGTGTGTTTTCCAGTTCAGAGGGAGGGTGCTCAAACCTGTTGCTATTTAGCCCCTAGTGCCACATTACATTGAATATTCACAAGTCTTAAGCAACCAATCTTCGAGCATCCTTTATAGAATAAAATAATTTTCCATCACCCAACTCTAGGTCCCATTAATTAAAACTAATGGCTTCTCAGGACACCTGATGCAAAAAGGAACCAAGACAGGTATTCACCACCCACGTTTTTGTCTTCACCAGATGGTACAGACTCATAATAAACCAATAGGAATAGAAAACTACAAGTTGGGGTCTATTAGGAATAGTATCTATTCATACTGTGGTGCTGTGCACACTTACCATTTAAATTGGACAGCTCTCCGGTAGACASTGTAGAAGCAGAAATATTTTTTCTAAATGGCATTTGATAGTTCTCAGAGACCTTGTTATAATGGAGATGTTAGAAGAGATGGTTCCCTAGCTTGTGTTTCGCAGGACCTAGAGGCAGATTATCAAAATGATTCTTTTTACTCTCAAAAATATAGGACTACTTCTGAGGTAGAAACTCCAGAAGAAAAGAATTTACTCAAGTGGCTTCTTTCATGATTTTGAGAAAGACGATATCAAAATACCCATCTTGAGGTACAGGACAAAATTACTCCAAATGTATGAAGAAAATATTTACTTGCAAGCTAGAAAAAGAAATAAGAGCACAAAATACCTACTTGTCAGGTAGGACTCTGCAGCTAAGTACACTGAATTTAATTTGAGCAACACGTAGGCTAAGAGTCTTTTCAATATCTCAAYAGCAGAATCTAAAGTGAGCTGCCTGTCAAGAAAAATCCTTAGCCTTCACAAGTAGGGTAGTAGGAATAAGCCCTGTAAAGCTCACAATTTAAGCATCATAGAGGAAGTATTTTAATAGGGATTTTTTATAAGTAATAAGCATACCAGGTACTCAGTGTTTTGCTTTGTTTCGASGTGCCACTTACTTCTTGAAAACATCATGGTTGTCAACACACATCCACAGAAGTACTCATTAGTGGTATTGAAGGATTGTTTATAGAAGGTCAAATAATGGGCCATGACAATGCAATTATGTTCCCTGCTAAAAAGGTCACTTTTACTCATCATAGTAATTATCTTGACAGAACTACATTTACTTCCACCAATTTCAATGCAGAAACTTCTCCAGCACCTTTCTGCTTTCAATGCTGCGTTTGCCGTTCTTGCTATCGCTAATGCACATTCCTTGATGCAAGACAAACAACGAGAGCAACCTCCAGAAAACAAAACAAAGGGCGGCATTTTAATTAAAAGTTAAGTAAAAAGTTAGCTTGAATTTTTAAGACCAGTTAGGCTTCCACCACTGCATTAGTAATGATGCAAAAGGCAAAATTTTCAGAATTGCACACACCACGTGTGCCTTTTGAAAACCTGAGCAATTTCTCCAACTGCACGGGTCAGATTATCACATAGGGTCAGCAGCAGTAAATCCATTTAAGTCAGTGCACTATAGCTGATGGCTGTATGGTTCTGGGGCATTCTGCTAAGAATCCTAGCTAAACATCTGCTCYGCGTGATCGGGATGTCACACAGCAGTGGCAGGATTAGGTCAGCAATGTGTGCGTTGATGTCACAGCGCTAGAGCTGGAGGAAAGTGATACATAACATATTCAAGCAAACAGAAAAAGGACTTGTATCCTCAAGGAGATCCATTTATCACAGACTTAACTATCAAAGACAGTTGTCCATGCTGTAATTTTTTCACGACAGCAAAGATACTAAGCATTTCTTCATGTTTTAAAAGGCCTTGGTCTCCCTGTGCTTTCATTATCTGCCAGTAATTGCTTGTTGCCATCACAGAGTAAGTTTTACTCCTTGTAAATAGCTATTGCTGTTGCAATGTAGTTGCACATGACAGTGTCTTTGTCGCAGACATCACACAGACAAACCACACGGAGTCCACAAAATTAATCTAATAGCTGTATTATTAGAAGATAGCTTAATTCTCTGTGGTCTTTTTCACTGATACCTCTTAGCAGCAGGATAAGCATTAAAAAATTAAGATTAAACACAGTCCTTGATACTCCACTGCAGTGAGGACTCTGTAGTGGTAGCTGGTCCACTTTGAAGTCCTGAACAGCATGAAAAGTCATACTGCAGCGGGGAACTAGGCAAATGCAAATAATACCTCTCCGCAAAAATTTTAGTCTGCTTTTGCATCTAACATGATGTGCTGCAGTCCAGGAACTCACGACACTGCTGGGATGCAGAGGAACTGTTACCAAACAGCCTGCCGGAACAACTAAGCCACTGATTTTGCAGGCACAACACAAAGGTTTCTTTCCATGATTTGATATGCTGGGTCACTGTAGACATGCGGCTTTATGTAATCTGGCAATTATCATATTCACATCCCTTTGTGAAGTGCTTTAAGGCCACATGTGAAATGAAAAGCATGATTAATGAGACAGCAACCATCTCTTCTAGACAACACCTGAGTTGGCAGGGGGCTTGCCTTTATTAAAAAACAAGCAGTTAATTTTAAAAGGACGGGAAGGTCWCACACACAACAAGGAGGTCTGCTATAGGACAACCAAAACGTAAACAATCTCCATATATTCAGAGCACAAAAGCACTCATTCCCCAGCTCAAAGCATCCTGGGTCACAAAATAGCAGGATCAAAACAAACGGAGCAGCCCTCAGGCCAAGGGCTACATGTATCTCCTGGAAAGGTTAATGATTTGTTTACTGCCTTCCTGGCACCGCACCGTAAGATGCAGAGGAAAAAATAGTTCCGTGTATGGCTCATACACATCACACACACAGAGACCACAAACTGCAGCTCCAGGRTTTATTGGGACACCAACACACCTTCCATCTCCAATCCGCTCCAGGTTTGTTGCCATTAACTAGATATTATCCTTGTCCCTCTCCAAAGGAGATGGGCACAAATAACGGGAAATTCATCAGCTATCCTTCTAACAGCCAGCAGCTGTACTTTCCCTCGAAGAAAGAACGTGTTGCATAAACTAAGAAATGACCAAGACATCCCAAGGGACCAGTTTGTTCCATCYGCTTGTTTCCAAGACCCTGAGTATATATGAATTTAGTAAAACTTAGAGGCTCATAGAGAGACTGAACTACTACAGCCACAACATGTCAAGCAAGTTGCAGGAAATGTCTATATCATGCAATGAAATTTTACCCTGCCAGATCAGGGATTTATCRCATTTATAAAAAAGAGTCTCACGTTGTCCTTCATCTCAGAATATCATTCTTACAAGTGCGACGTCCCTCTGAACGGCCACAGTTACGATCCATTATTATTTTATATTTCCAGCTGCTTTACAAGAATCTGAAAATCTTCTTATGGGAGAACTAACACATTAAAGTCCAAGGTCTGCATAGGATTAAGTGTCTGAACCATACATTCACTCTTTGAGCAATGTCTAGGGACAGAAAATCTAATCCAGCCCCACCTCCATGGTAAAATAATACTCCCAGAGGCAGGACTCACTCTTGTTTAAGCTAAACTACTTAGCTACAGTTAAACTCCTCGTGCTAACTCCACACAGAGCCAGATGTCTCTTCAACGTTTGCAAATTGCCATAATTCAATTATGGTGAAATGCTAAAACTGGACAAGATCATGCAGCTGATACAACCTTCAATGATACACCAAATCTGACAACTTCATTTCATTAAGCGCTGGGAATGAGATTGGCATTGCCACACACAGGCTGAACACCCACCCATTGCTCCTTACATATGTTAAGTAAAGGCAAACTTCTGGAGTTATATAGGCAATAAAGAGATCATTATGAGAGTTCACTCAGCTGAAGACTTACAGTGCATGAAACCTAAAACTGAGGGCTTCCATCACGCATTAAATCTTCAAAGAACTATACAAACATTCACCAGTTAAACATTAACTGATTGTTTTTTCTCTCTTTACATTGAGAGATTCCATGCTGGCAATGTTTCACACAGTGGGGAAGAAAAAAAAACACAAGTAAATGTAAATCCATCCACTTACTGTTATGAGCGGAGCTTCTCATCGTTTTAGTAGGCCCGGAATCATTCAGGATGGGAATCATCAGGATAAGGAGAGGAGATACCGGAGCAACTGCTGGATGTGACCTCATGGTGCCCATCAAGAGTTTAGGAGTTTCATTTGTGGCTGAGGCGATGATGAGTGTGCCACCTTCATCTCCACTGGAGCATCATCAGGTTTGTCAGGTGCACCTGGACCGACCCAGTGGCAGAAGACTGAATCTGCCCTGTTTAATGGAAATAATGCTTGTGGGCACCACTTTGTCCTTTGGCCTACTAGAATAATGGCCATTTTCCCTTGCAAGTAGGGAAAAAAAGAGCTTCTGATTGACAAGACTGGTTTATCTACCTTGAAAAGAAATCTGCAAGTTTGCCTTTTTTGTCTTCTGTCTGTCTTCCTCTTCTGAAGACCAGGAAGTCGTTCTTAGGGTTACAAGGCACTGATTAGGGAAGACAGCAGGTACGGCAGCAGTCAACACCAACACGTTTCTGTGGCCACTGTTTTATAGGCTTGGTCAAATGCAAAGAGGTGACAACGCCGAACTGGTCAGAAATTCTCCTTGTGATCTTCCCATTGAGATAATCACAATTGGATAAGAAAAGGTCCACATCAGAGCATGAAGCATCCTCTAATAATTCTCTCACGGTAGCAGTCTTTCTCCCCATGCCACCAGTTCTTCCTGGTGATGCAGGACAAACACAAATTGCTTTGATGACCTTGTTGCAGGGCTCCTGTGAAAAAACAGAGGCCAAAGAAGAAATTCAGTATATTAATGCAACTGGCACAGGTTACCATTATTTTTTTTTCCCATTTAAAGGGGAGAATTACACCAAGAAGGAAAGTGAGGCGAGTCCTTACTAATCAAAATCTTTTTGTTCCCTTGGAGCACAGCTTTGTCACAGACAGTTACGGAACACAAAGCCTTGGAAGACGAAGTGCCCTAGTAAGAGCTGTTTTAGAACAGATCCATTTGGGTCAGGCAATATTATTTCTCCCCTTGGCAACACAACACATTTCCGCACATGCAAAGCAGCTCTCTACAAAATGCAGATTTGGGACCTTCTTTTTTCAAAACAGCTTTGAAGGGCCTTCAAAGGGGAATGGCAAGTGGGATTGCGATGGGTGTTTGTAATCCATGTTAAAACACCCGCTTTGGGTTTCAGACTTCAGAAGTGCTCTCTCTCCCTCACATAATGTTCTGCCGAGCAATGAGGTCCTCTCTTTAGACCCAACGGCTTGGAAGAGGTGTGATCCAAAACGCTACCACCAAGAAGCAGAAGGAACACAGGGAACAGATGCAGGGAAGTCCTGTCTGGTTTTTGTAGGCTATATTTGCCATTGTAGAAGACACCCTCAAAACAAATGAAAATCTAGGAAATGCCCAAATGCCAATGTTACCTCATGTTTCTTCAAAGTTACTTCTATTTCAGTAATGCTGCTCAGCTCCATGTTTTTTCGTGATTTCCTCCTCCTTCCTTTCCCTCCCCAGATGCAAGAACCATGGCTCATCTGGTAGGTAAGGTGCCCTGCTCACTTAACTAACATCTCTTCAATCCTTTGTCATCTCCTTTATTGCTCAGCGAGAAGTCCTGTACCACACTTATGGCATATTACTGTAAACCTTCCCCAAAGATACACTTAGGCTCCTCACAGGTTTTTTATGACTCCCAGGGCTCTATTTTTGAGGTTTTCAGAGACAATTCGTTTTTTCATTTTTCAGCATCATTAAGAGATAAAAGACATTATGCCCAGATGACAGACAGCAAACTGAGGGAGGAGAGGTCATCATGATCAAGGAGACCACCAAGTTTACGTCTTTAATTTCCAGTCCCGAGAATCTGATATAGTTACACATGTTCAAACCAGGGTTTCCACTGTATTTGAGCATCACTGACTGCWCAGCACTTCTGTTTCTGAATATGCAAACTAACCGTTCTTCTAGTTTAATAGCTGTGAGCATATGAATGAAAGCACATAGACCAGGAGAAAAAAATCTTCCGCAATATTAGTTTCTCCCACCCAGTACATTTGCCACGAGGCATACCAATTCCCCAAAGCAATTTATTTCAATCAGTAAGGGCACTCCGGTAAGGCGAAAATTTGCCCTATAACGAGATAGAACACCAGCTCCTGGCAGCAATTTAGATCCTCTTTTGAGGTTGTAAATGGTTCCCGTACCATGTGATGATACTTAAGACAGTGAATTTCATCTTATGTGCTGCATTATGCTATATTCCATTGTATGTTAATGTGTTTCCTGTTGTCTCTTATTACAAAAATATAATGCTCTTAAACAGCTGCCGACTTTGCTGCCTACTTAATCTCCTAAAACGTTTGTCCTACCSGCAGATAGAATCCGCTTAGGCTGACTTGCATCTCCAAATGCAGGTAGGCAGATTTACACCACGTTAAGAAGCAGAAAGATGGATTTCTATTGCACTGAGAATCTCTTTCCAGCTTGCCAGCAGGAAAGAGTTATCAGTTCAAGACTCAGTTTTTTTGCACAGTTTAAGACTACAATTCACACACATCCTATTTCCAGAGCATAAGAAAGRAGTCTCAAGTTCCAGAGAATTTTGTGAAATCTCCCATGACAAAGTTTTCTAAGGATTTCTTTGTCTAGTCATAAATATAAGAGAGTCACTTCTGCAATCTAGCGCTCCACTGAGCTAGGACTTTTCTACCTGTCTCCACTCTAACCAGGAATCAAATTATTTAGAGCCTTTAGAGCCCTTTTTTCCTTCCAACTTGCGGGCCCAGAAGTCCGATCCTCTCCTATCCCCTACTCTCAAGGGATCAATTGCAGCATTCTCAGAAATCAATATTCTTATCTTGAAGGAGATGATTTCTTCTTTATCAATATTACAGGTTTTCATCCCAATGGGTCTTATTTACAGTGACCACATGTTCACACATGTTCACCAGCTGCATTTTCCCCCCATGCAGGTCTACACGAGGGCATGCGTGTGCTGCACAAAACCATGTGCCAGCTTGGCTTGGAGAAGCCGAGTACATTCCCACTTAGAAGCAGGCCCTGAAGTACATGATTGAGGCTTTCTCTGCCAAGAACACTTTCAGAGAGGGAAACAGATGGCTAAGAGGGCTTTGCATAACCTGCTCTCCAGCTGCCAGTACCTGCCATCACATCTGCAYGCTTGCATGGCCCTTCCTTTGGCATCCCAGGTGAAATCACTTACCTCCCCTGGTTTAATGATCCAAAGTTGATAGCTTAATTCTACTATTTGATTATTTCTTGCCTCCTTCTCATCCTCAGATGCTCTTCTCCTCCCCCAGCCACCTACAGCTAGCTCCCACCTCTTTCCTCTTTCAGCAGCTCTACTCATAAAACAAATGTTTATTCCAAGCTGATGTATCAGCTCAGAACTCTTCACCATTTCTTGTGGAGGTGGGAGAGGGGGTRCAGAGGAAGGCAAAGACTTGGGGATTGGCAGGGCAAACTGTTTAGCGTGTACTCACTAAAGACAACCCTGTTTTCCCTGTACACCTCTGCGGTCGTCACCATGCAGAGGTCAGCTAGCATTCCAGGTGACTTTRGCAGCTGATGCATAAAAGCTGGGCTGGACACACCACAATTTCTCCTTTAAAATGACTGAGCACTTGCCTTTCTGCACTCTCCTTGCGATTGAAGCCCACTACCACCAAGGAGTTTTGGTGTTGAGGTATGAAAAATACACTGTTTAGATAAAGCAGCACACTTTGATAGGACCAGCACTTTGATAGGACCAGCACTGTTCTTGCAATTGCAGGCAGTGGCTTTGATCTCCACAGGCCACACCAGGGCATGGAAAATACTAATGAATATACCACAATTCTGCCTCTTTTTTTTTTTTTTTTAAAGTTTCATTTCAAAATGGCAGGGCCACGACCAAATATCAAAGCATAAAATCAAAAGCCCTTGTGCTGTCAAGAGAGACAACTCAATCTGAAGTGTCCTTTAGGTAGAACCCAATATCTTTGATAGTTCACCCTACTTGATCAAATAAAACTATTGATCCTTACCAGGAAAGTTCAATATAGGCTATCAGTACTATCAGAGCAGTATAATAAAACCCTCAGTCTTTTTGATCTCTTCTGAAGCATTTCATCTTGGCATTTCTTAAATGTATCAGTAGATTGCTTAAAATGAGAAGAGGGTTTTCAAAGCTTACTGAGAAAGCAAAGCTTGTATTAAAAATTCCACTTTTACACTTGGTAACTTTTACACTGGGTGCTTTTCATTAACTTTATTGCCCAGCCAGGTATGATTATCATCCAATGCCACTTTAAGCAGGATAGTGAGACCTAAACGCATTTCTAAATATACATTCTTTAGGGGGTTCATTCTTACAGGTAGTTTTTATGAGGGTTTATCGGCTTCTGCACCTTTCCAGTTAATCGGTTTATAACAAAATATCCCAGGCATTACAGAAGTGAAATGGCAATATTAGCAGGCCAAAAAAAGAGAAAAGTAGGAAAAAAGGAACATTTTCCATAATGTGATCCTCCATAAGAATCAGGACAGATTGTGATCTCAGTGATATAAGTGCAAACCCAAAGTTAACAGCAAAACAGAGACTTTATTACAGTTAGTCTAAGCATGATCTTGTGAAGCTCAATATATACACACAGGCACAGGGCAGGCAGGTAATGCATTGGAAAGTACTTTTTTTTTTTTTTTTTTTTTTTACTATTTCCAGTTGATAAGCTCTATAATTGGTTGTGTATATAATTTTTGCATGTATATATACACACATATAACCTTTCTGTCTAAGCCTTTCTATGATTTTGACTCAATTGACCTAAAGATGCACAGATTTTATTACAAATGAAATGCTGAACACATACGTATGGTCACAATCCGACAAAGTCTGTGCTTATTTCTCACTCTAGAATGAGTCTAGACACAGCTCTGCGGGATTTAGCAAGCTCTACTCTATGTATTAATACTACAGCACGACTTAGAGAGGACAACTAAGATTCTTCAGGAAATGCTATTAAGAAAAACAACAACAAAAATGCTAGAGAGGCAACAAAAGAAGATAGAACATAAAGAAGGAAAGCAAATAGCCCAGAGTGTTTACCTAACTCCAAAAGGCGGCAAAAAATACACCTGCACAAGTCTTAACGGCCCCCAAACTCAGCCTCTTTGCAGCAATGACTTTAACAATGTCTTTGTGAGGAATAAACCAAACCAAGCTAAACTTAGCATTTTTTCCCCCATGCTTTTCTACAGCTTTAACTACTTTCCATTGTTGCCTGGCTGGTCCTGAAAAGCTTAATCAGAGATGATACTCTAAATCTCTTCTTGGCAATGGTACTAATCTGTTTATTATTCTCCTGCAGCAGAGCAGCCCTGAATTGAAGCCTAACAAACCCAAAATTCTTAATTACATTCCTTCCCTTGAAGAGGAGAAGTCATTGCAGCCAGGAGTCCTATGGAGGGGAGGAAAGAGGAAAGAGGAAAGAGGAAAGAGGAAAGAGGAAAGAGGAAAGAGGAAAGAGGAAAGAGGAAAGAGGAAAGAGGAAAGAGGAAAGAGG